ATGCATATCAATTCCAAGAACAGTAACGTAATAATAGTTGATATACTGAAAGGTTTTTAATTAATGAGCAATTTTTCTCATTAATCTTAATTCAACTTTCAGGAAACCAAGTCATTATAAAATAAATGCCTACAAAATGTTTTCCTTTTTATTATTTCTGAAGAAATGAAAATTGTTATCAAATGGCTAGCAGCTCCAATAGCCAAACTTATGTGTCTTTTTAGGGATATGCTTAAAGATTATTGTTGAACGGATAATTATATGAGAATATAGAATGAAGTGTAAAACACCTTATAAAAATATTTATATTCTGAGAAACACGTGAAATTCATCTTGCATTATGGTTACTCTAGTTAAGATTAAATTAAAAAATAATTTCAATAATATCTGGGGGATTTGAAAGATTAAAGAGACATAATTTTATAAATAAAATTATATCTTATCTACTTCACAGTCAGCTACTTTTCTAATATGTAAGCCAGTACATCTGCTTTGGAAAAAGTACATATTGATAAATCTTCCCAGATATGTTTTCTGTCGATTGATTCGGTAAGATATATTTTATTTAAAATTAGGATTGTCTGGAGTTTGGTGGATTTAATTATTTGTAATTACCCAGATGTTGTCAGCCTGTGGCCATTTTATGACAGAGGTATCTACTGTGTGGGTCAGGTTCAACTGTATATCTTCTCAAACACAGATTTAATGCACTATTGATGAAACCATTACTTGAACCAAATTAAAGTCTGGGCTGATATATTGGTCTGCAGGGAGCTGTCAGACATGAAAGGAGTAATTAGTATTCATTACTTCATACTCCACAACATTCCAGTTATTCATGAACTTCAACTTTTGGACTATGCCATATCTATCACAAGCATTTCTTAGGCATTCAATATTAGGAAGAACAAACTAATAATAGTTTTAAAAAGGCCCCGAAAATAAACAATCGAAATAAACAACAACACTAGTAACAGTTGAAAGCTCTTTGAGGTATGTGACTTTCTAGTGGAGGATGGACATGCTATCACCTGCATTGGAGGGACACACAAAGGCATTCCAGGTATAGCATTCCAGTCCTTGGGGGTAGTTCTTTGCTCTTTCTTGCTTTCAATGCTGTCTTATCTTTATAACACAAAGGAAAACCTATCTGTAACCCTGAGGCAATTATATAGAGTAATACAGAAATTAAAAAGAACAGAAAATCAAGGAAAATGTTTAGCACTGGAGGTCAGAACTGAAAGATCCACTGAAGGATTTTACAAATGTGGATTTGTTTGGGATGTGACCAAGGTAAAGTCAACATTTTTCTGTTCTTGTTATTATACTGCAAATGGGTATCTCCACTAAAGAAAGCAAATTAACATTTCCCACTAATTTTCTTTATTTTACACTATTTTTTCCAATTTTCACTTACTGCATTAAATAAGGAAAAAAAAATCTATTTCTACCAATTTAGTCTTTTTCCCCCCATATCCTCTTTAAGTTTTTCTATGTGTGAATATTTTTCGTTTCTCATTAAAAAAAAACAACAACTAAGTGAAGAAACAAGAAAGCATTTACTTTTTTTCTGGTGAGACTGGGGTTTGAACTCAGGGTTTTATACCTGCAAAGGAGGTGCTCTACCACTGAGTCACACTTGCAGTCCATTTTGCTCTGGTTATTTTGAAGATGGGGTTTCATGAGCTATTGCCTGGGCTGGCCTCAAACTGAGATCCTATCTTAGTCTCCCAGGTACCTAGGATTAGACATGAGTCACAAGCCCCTGGCTCATTTACCTTAAGCATTTGTCATTTCAGGTGAAAACAATACAATTTCTAAAACATAAAAATGTATTCAAAGTAGTTCTTCAATTTATGTTGAACAAAACCATTTTTAAAACATAGTGTCCACATTTTTTTTTTCATTCAATAATAGGAGTAGAAAAAAAGTAAGAGGTGAGAATGTTTCCTCATAGGAAGAGGTGGTTAACAGCATTCAATGCAGCAATCTATGTGTATGAAGAGTAAAGATTTCTAACTCTATTCTCCGAAAGACCCCATAATTCTTATATAAGCACTGATGAGTAAATAAACTTAGAAACACTGGAAAACCATTTGACATTATCTCTTAAAACTGATTGTTCAGATATACTATACCCAACGATTCCATTCCAGAGTATAAACTCTTGGGAGGGAGTGTTTAAGAAGTACCTCTATCGTTCAATGCCTAGTAGGAAAAACCATCATCTCTTTCCACACATTTACTCATGTTCCTATAACACATCTCTCCATAAATCACAACACCATTTGCTTGGTAGAAGACTAGAAATCACCCTTGATCCTACTTTTTTCCCTACCAATAATAATCAATAACCATGAGCTGATAATATTAACTCCTTACTCTCCCTTTGGTTTGTTCTCTTTCTAGCTCCTAGTCACTGTCTCAGCTTAGGAGCAGATCATGTCTTAGTTGGTAACTACAATTATTTGCTACTTGATGCTGGCATTAGGTCCATACTCCTGTTATCAGTACTTCACTGTACACAACTAGCTTCCCCAGTGACTTATGCTCAGGGTTCTCGGAGAAAGCATAGGGACTCCAGGAAGGCAGAGTCTTTGGTGAAAACAATTGCTCTTGTCAACTAGTGTAACTGATAGGAATTGGCCCCTCGAGTATGTTTGGGTCTAGAGGAAGAATTATCTACCTCTAGGCAAAGATTAAGCTATCTGTCAACCATGGAATTCCATATCTGGGCCCTGCTTACCTCTCTAGCCTCATCTCTCCCATTCCACACTTCCCTCTACACCCATCTTAATTCCATTTTCAGTTCTCCAAACTGCTTAGCTGTTTCATGGGTTTTGCTACTTGGTATTAGAGCTCTCTGTTTCAGATTCTCTTCCACTAGTCTATTTGACAAATGCCCACTAATCTTCTGAGACATTAAATGTAATCCTGTAATTTTTTTCGCATAAAGCTTTTTAAAGCCTCCACTGTGGAAGTGATGATTCCTTGCTATATATACTTCTATCAAAATCTCTTACTGCTTATGGGTCTACCAAAACAAGGAAGTATATTTAAAGTGTTCCTTACATGCAAGATCTATACCTCATCTGACTTTGAATTCTCAGCCCCCAGAGCTACACTCGGAGAAGGTTTAGTCAATGACTGACAGGATATATAAGGACTCCACTAGCATCCATAGTCTGGGTAGAGGTATTAAAATCATCCGTATAGGAAAGGGAAGGAGGAAAAACCAAGATACAGAATAATAATTCTCCTTCAAACAAGTGGTCTGCACATGAACTCTGTAGCCAGGATTATTATAGTAATGACTTCATGCAAGAAACATTACTTGCTATATTCTTAGAGAGCATCTTAAATTTTCTGGGTTTTAAAAACTGCTGAGATGATATAATTAGGTCTAAAAGGCTTCTCAGGAAGTACATATTCACTAAATATTTTACATTCTGGAATAAACTGTTCTGTATTGATATTTTGTAAAAGAACAGGTGCTCTCTGTACATTCTGTTTGGAAAATCAAAGACCTCTGGAATCCTCACTGAGGAAAAATCGCACTTAACTAGATCAGCACTGGGGAAAAAATCATGACTCGAATTTATCAGCTTTTGGAAATTTCAGATTATCCAAATAGACATTTGATAGAGAATCATCTAATTTCTTACACATAAATTATGCTATTGAAAGATGAAGTTAAAGCTCAGAGAATACATATTTCACTGACAAAAATTTTAGGTCTTCATAATAGAGTCAGTGCCTTAATAACAAGGATTTCACTTATGTGACATTCAAGATTTTACACTGTATTTTTAACACATCAGACACAGCTACAATTATATTTATGTTAAGAGTTGTGGTTTGTCAAGAAGCTTATTAGATCATTCTAAATGCATGTCTGGGTAAATTTTGGTTTATTAAACAATTATAAGCTGTCAGTCACTTTAAATGGATTTACTTGGGAGTCATATAATAAATACCATTCTCATTGGTAGAGACTAAAAAGCTAGTCACCTTTAAATAAGCCATTTCCACTGAAAGTTGACAGGAATAATCTAGTGATGAAAAGAGACAGATTACCTTAGAGGCAGAGAGTGGGTGTTAAGGAAGAATGAGTTTGAGGAAGTTTAAAAATTATACCTCTGTGAAGAAAAACAAGACAAAACAAAAAGGTGGAGGAAAGAGTAGCAAATCAAATGCAGTAAGTTCAGTGACTGTCGATGTGACTGAAGAGGCCCAAGGAGCCTTTGGAGTGCCACAGTTTCCCCTGGGTCACCCAGGCTTGATTAGAGACATAACCCTACATCTGACCCAAGACTCCCTGGAAATGGCTTCAAAGCCCCTGGGAGAATGTTCTGGAAGGCGTAGTGTCTGGTGGGAATGCAGCATTTTGACAGTCATGTGTAACTAACTCACTGTGGGGGAAACAGGGTGGGTTTCCTATTGCTGACCTACCACTGCTTGTGTGGGGGATGAGTTCAGGGATCCAGTGGTGAACTCTCTCTTGAATGGTTATTTAGATTTTAAATACATTAGAAAAATATAGAGCTGGCACAAGTGAACCCATGATTTTGTGGATACTGATGATTAAATAAATTAGTGACAACTTAGAGTCTACTGAAAGAAAAATATTAAGTAAATATTAAGCACACAAGTGACATGCAGATAAGGCAAACATACTCAAGTGTTTTGCAAATTACTGAAGTTGGCATAATAGTGACATAGGTGACAACCGTTCTCAGATCAGGGACAATGTAGTTTTTAGTTTATAAGTAGGAACTGGGTAAAACAAATCTAAAGCCACCAAATAAATATCCTGAAAGTCTGGCTCATGTTGAGGTTGGTTTTGTCTCAGAGTGCAGGGGTCATGAAGTGGAAACTCTGAAATGTCACCAAGAAGAGCTCAGTGGGGACCATAGACCATCACCATGACAGCGAGATCCAGATCTGGTGATCAAATTCATTTAGCACAATATAAGTCTTAAAAATTCCAGAATACTTACTTTCCTTTTTTAATTGTGTTCCTGCCAAGCAGTGGATCAAGGACTGGATCTACTGTTTCCTCAAGGTTTTCAATTAAGATGACATCACCAAAGGCCACAGCAGTTTCAATGGCACTCAGAAACCTGCAAATCCAAGAGAAATAACAAAATGGAAATAAGCATAGGAAAAACATTCAGGTTTATCTATTTTATTAAATTTTACTTAATGTAGGTATTTTAAATGGAACAAGCTTAGAGAAAACTATTTTATAAAGTAGTATTCTTCTTTAACTAGATTCACAGAAATTAGAGATTTTGAGAAAAAATTTAGTCATATTTTACAACTGCTAATTAGTTGCTTTTGATAATGATCAATGGTTGAAATGAGTGTAAGTGACTCAATACCATAAATTTATTCTTTTTTTTTTTCATTTGGTTTTTTGAGACAGGGTCTTACTATGCAGTCCACGCTGGCCTCAAATGCAGGATCCTGCTACCTCAACTGTGGAGTGCTGGGATTAGAGGTGTGTACTACCATGCCTGGATAGTGGGTCTTTTAAATTTTATTATTATTATTTGTAGTACTAGAGATTGACTTCAGCAGGTTACTTGCTAGGCCCATGCTCTACATCTTGAGGCCACACCCCTAGTCCTAGTGGGTCCTTTTTAAATAAAAAATTCATATTAAATGGTTTATGGTTTTATCAAGTTTTTAGCTTTTAAATCTTTAAGGTCAGATGTATAAAATGGTGAATTAGCATTTTATTTCTTTCCTTCTCTCCAAAAAGAATCTCTGCCATCCAAAATTAATTTTTTCTAAGTATTCATATAAGCAAGGACTTTTTTTAAAAATATGAACAGCTATAAAAATTCCTTGTTCCTCTTTATATGTGAGAATTCGGAAGGTGTCAAGTCAAATATCAGTAGGTCCAAAATAATTTATTCAACATTAAATGAATACTAGCTAAGAACATGACAGATTTCTACTTATCAGACAGTACAATCAGGAGGATCAAGTGACAGAAAGTCTCAGAGCAGACTCAGTTCTCAAAAGTGATATATGTTGGGATTTGTAGCTATGTTAAGATCCTACTACAGCCAAAGAATATATTTAGGAATATAACCGTGTGCATTAAACTTGTAGGTGCAGTTGGCAATTCGTACGTTACTATATACCACTCTAAAAAAGAATGTAACATATTTCCACTTGAAATCTTATAGTGTAACCTTCAATCTCATTTTTTTTTTCTTCAAGTCACTGGATGTTGCCTAATATAAATGCCTTTATATGAAATGTGAGCAGGCAAATAAACCACATTATAACAGTTCAAAGTGGTAAAGAGTTCTACAAATACCAAGACTGTAAAAATTGGACCCGCTTTGTAACAGCTAAACACAATGCCAATCCCTTCAGAATTCACATACCCTTTCTGGCCTAAATGTGTGACTTTCAGGTCAGTTCCATACTTATTCTTGATCCACTTAATTCCCTGTTGCTGAGGATCAATCATCAGGGGCCAGCGCTCACAGTGTGTCAGGATGGTGGCATTTTCAGTTGACATTCTGTCACTGGGTAGCCCTTCATTATTCCAGGCAGCGACTGTAGCATCATCCGTCAACATGGCAATCACATCCAGGCCTTGCGTTATTGGGATGGAAACCTTTGAAACCAAAGTTGAACGCAATAAGCTGGCAGCATAGCTGAGGAGGAAGAGTTGGCAAGGTAGACAAGAAAACAAGAGACCAAACCCAAGACCATGTGACTCCAAGTGAACACATGCCAATTCTCTGCAGATTCTCAGAAGCCAAATGCAACTCATCATTAAATACAATTTGACCTGATAGACCCAGTATTTAGAATCCTTTCAACTGTGGGATTCAACATCTGGTTTATTAACTCCATCTACTTGGCTTTAACTGAAAGAGAATTTGTCCTACATATTGCACCTGTAGCTATTTTAACAAGGAGAGAAGGATTTAGACACTAGGAACAATGGCAGGGTACTAGGCCTGTATTTTCCATGGAGCTATCACCTCACCTAACCAATGCCTAAATGCAGTATCTCACTCAGGCATGGCATGTGTTTCTATAGGCCAACACTATAGACATGACTTTTTTTTTGGATGGGTTAATGAAATGTGTGCAGTATGCTGGAACTCCATCTTCCTAGAGGTGCCAAAGAACTTAGAAGGTGATCTCTACTCTCAAAGGGAATTACTGTGTCTTGACTGCACTAAAAGTGAGTTTTCTCCTTTTAGATAGACAGATAGTGAGTGGAAGGAGGGAGAAAAAGGAAAGAAAAAAATGGAAGGAAGGAAGGAAGAGTAGAATGGGGAGGGACAGAAGAGAAAGAAGAGAAGGGACAAGGATTATTCTTTTAAAAAATGGATGGACTTTACAAAAAATACACAAGATTGTGGACCACTTCTTTGATCAGTAATCTTCAAACATTTATTGAATGCCTGGGGAAACACTATCTGGAGACAGAAAAATGAATAAAGAGCTGGCCCCATGGTTGGAAGGGGCTTACATGGAAACACGGTTCCCTAAGTGTCACAGGAGCCCTACCTGTTGTAGGGAGGGAGGCTCCAGCAGCAACAGGCATCTGCTTCTTGGTTGGCCGCAGAGCTTCCACTGAAAGGATCCCCCACATTAAGACAGGAAAAGTATCACAATACTCCACTGGCTCTGACTACAAAGCTATTTAAAAAATAAATCAGGGCTGACAGTAGAGCATAGTGATAGAGTGAGTGCCTACCTAGCATGTGCCAGGCCTTGGGTATGATCCCCAAAACCATAAAACAAAACAAAACCCACCTATATTCTAGTGATATGAACAAGTCTTAGTGTCTGATCTAATATATAGTTTCCTTTAGGACACAAACAATTTGGCTTCTTTTAGAATAAGAATCTTCCTATTAGCAAGGGATAACCTGGTTTTATTTCCCTGCCTTCTACTTAATACAAACAGATTGAAACAATTGGAGGCTTTGGACACATTTGACTTCTGAAGCTGAAAGGACTCACAGAAGGGGCACCTGAACATCTTCTCCCCATATTCAGTAGGTTGAACTGCTTGAGTACCTACTCTATGCAGAGTAGAATGCTGGGGGTCAGGGACAACACCAGCCTCCCTCCCTGTCTTCTATTTCTGGACAGCTTAACCTAGTTGGGGAAATAAAGCTCATCCTAATATAAATGAGCTAACCCACACTAAAGAATATCATAAATATTCTGACTATTTTGAGACTTAAAGTTTTAGGAAAATAATTTTAGCTATCTTTCTTATATTAATATATTCAGTGTTGTTCCAGACTGTAATAATATAAAATCTGAAATTCTACAACCAGTCTTTGACCATGACTGTCTGTATAGCATAAGACTTACTCTTACAAATAGCCTTAGAGAACCTAGGCCTTTACCCTACCATAGATTTTTTTTTTATTGTGACAAATTATATATAACAAAATTTGACATTTAACCATTTTAAAAATACAATGACATCAAATATATTTATAGTGTTATATAACCATTACCTCTTTCCATTTCCACAATGTTTTTACCTTCCCAAATTGAAACTCTATATCTATTAAATAATAATCCTTCCTTCCCCAGTCTCTAGCAACTACCATACCACTGACTTTGTGAATGCTATTACTCTAAGTAACTCATGTAAGTGGAATCATACAGTATTTGTCCTCTTCTGACTTATTTCACTTAGCATAATGTCTATAAGGTTTATTGATGTTGTAGCATGAATCAGAGTTTCTTTTGTTTTTCAAGCTGAAGAATATTCAATTGCATGTATAGACCACATTAAAAAAAATCCACTCATCTGTCCATGGATACTTGGATTGGTTCTACTTTTTTGGCTATTGTGACTAATGTTTCCATGAACTGGAGTGTATGAATATCTGTTTGAATCTCTACTTTTCCTTCCTTGGAGTATATAATCAAAAGTGGAAATGTTGGATTACATGGTAATTCTATGTTTAATTTTGGGATGAATGCTACTGTATTTTATCCATGAACTTTTGACTACACTCAGAGATTCAGAGTCCTACCCAGCCTAAAACATATGTTCCATGACCTCCTTTTCCTCTGGCTTATTGCTAAATAATATTGTATATTATTTAGAATATATGCATTTCTGAGAACATGTTAAAGATAGTAAGTGCTTAAGGGTTTTTAAAAGGGTTGTCTCCAAGTTTACTTTAAATATGAAACAGGTTATCAATAAACAACATACTTAGTTTATAGATTTATAAATCATAATCACTTGCTAACTGGTTTGTTTACAAACCAGTAGAATCTGTAGGATACCCACATCAAATTGATAAGGCAACGTCACATCAGAAATAGTTACCTACAGACAAGGAGTGCTCTAGAAAATGCCTTGTATATTGAGGAAAAGCAATAGAAATTGCTTCTTAGGGGACAGAAAGAGGGAAAATTAATTTAAAAGTTAGCATTGATAAGCAATTTCAACTCCTATTGCTACCCTGGTGCATGTTCAGAGAAATGTGTTTGCCTTCCCACTTTACTACAGCTGAATCTAGAAGTAGGAGGGGTAAACGGCTCAGAAATGGGAAACCTGATTCCACGAGGACAAGCATTTGTTATGTTTTATGTAGCACTTTCTTCCAGTGTCTTAGGGACAGAAAAATCTCTTCCTGGGGATATCATTTATACATTTTGGAGTAATTTTCTTCCTTCAGTTAGCTATGCCAGACATGAGTGGGAGAGTAGGCTGTCCATGTTTTAGGGTCTGTTTCACTTTGCACAGTGGTTATGTGCTGAAGAGAAGGGAAAGAGCACTATGATGACTCAACTGACAGGAGGTTTCCTGGGGAGAAGTGAGGGCCACAGTAAAACAGAGGCCCACGGTTAAAATTAACATACGTGTAACATATATCATTCAAAGATTACCATTTTGCTTTGGTCACATGTTTAGAATGTTTTGGCAATGTGGATAAGTCAATAAATTTTATTATTTTTGTGTTAAAGATCTCATCAAAACAAAATTACATCTTCATGAAATCCCATTTTTGGAATGGGATGATACAAATCAATTGACTTGAAGCTTTCTGGAAACACATAGGCCACATGCTGTCATGCTAGCAATTAAAGACCAATTTTTAAAACTAAGCTTGAAAAGGGAAATTCCTTCTCAAGTGCAAGATGACTGGTAGCCTAAGTTCATACTTTCAATACATGCCCCAAAGTGAGTATGTATAACAAGATGACAATGTGACATGAAGTTCAAGAGTTGTGACGTTGGAAGCGAATTTTCCCAATAATTTTGGAGAGAATGAGAATACTTTCCTAAACACTGAGTACAGAGGACCACTGACAATGTAAAGTAGGTCACAAGGGTGATTTGGATAAACTAAGACTCAAGCTTAGAAAAGATGAAACTGAGAAGGGAAAAAAAGGAAAGAGAAGAAATATACAACTGACACACTTGACACAGTGTAGTAAGGATTGGGCAAAATTAGCAGAATACCTTATTCTCTTACATAATACTTTACATTTTTACACTTAAAAATACTTAATCAAACTGACATCCTTTCATCAAATTTCTCTTCATCTTACTACTACCTAGCATTCTACTAACTGAAATTATATTATCAATGTATTGATTTTTTTCTCAGTGCTTATGACTAAAACTAGAGCCTTATTCATGCTGGGCAAGAGTTCTACCACTGTTCTAAATGCACAGTCCCTACCAATTTGTTTTATTTATTATTTGTGCTTCTGAATGGAATAGAGGCATCTTGAAGAGCATCTGGAAAAGTTTATAATTTGGGATACAATACCTATATACACGGAAATGTCATAATGAAACTCCCTGTATAGATATCTTTAACAAACAAAAAATGTCTTTGTTTTTTTCAAAAACAGAGGACCAGAATGTAAATCAGGGGGTGTCCGGGGTTGGTACCACTGGAAGGGAAAAGGATATAAGGAAGGGGAATCAAAGGGTGAATACAGTGGAAACATTACACACGCATATGAAAGAGGACAAGTGAGATCTGTTGAAACTTTTGTAAGAGTGGGGACAGGGATTATAAAGGAGAATGATGGAGGGGGTGAATTAACTGAGATATATTGTAAGCACTTTGGTAAATGTCACAGTGCATCCCCAGTACAATAATAATATGATTAAAAAATTTTTTAAAAACTTAATCAAACACTTGACAATAAATATAATTAACCATGAACTTTTAGGGAATAACACAGAGATAATGTCTTTTAAGAAATCTTCAATATAAAAATAAGGTTTGAAACTGAAGATATTTTGAATAATTTAGTTATATATGATTTTTCCATGAAACGATTAATTACAGAGTACTTTCCCTAAAGCATTGAATTTTATTTATTTTACAAACATTCCATTGGTGTATGCTTGTCATGAAAACAACTATTGTGAAAATTAGACATAATTACCAAACGTGGAACATTATTATACAGACAGTGTTAGAGTATCACTAAATATACACCAGAAATGGCAATCATGATGACACCAATCATGATGACAGTGCCACCAAAACCCAAAAAAATCCAGGGTCTAGAAGTAGGTGGTCTGATTTCCTATTCCATATGCCTGGGGTCATTTAAACTTCCTGTGAACCTGTTCTCTCAATTGTTAGAGGAGGAGCTTAAATTAGATAGTTTCAAATATTGTACATCTGATTTCACTTTGCGTATGGATTTGAGTTTTCCAATTTAGGATAAACTTTTTTTATGTCTCTATAAAAATGCTGTACTTTTAATCTGACAGTAGTTTTGGAAAACCCTCAACAATAACTCATCATTTTAGTAGGAAGACAAAATTTCATGTTATTCAGTAACATAATAATCCAAATTAATTTATTATTTTTGTGAAATATACCTTCTAACCACAACTCAATGCAATTTTTACCTCCCTGTGAAAATCATCATAAAAATAAGAAAAACAAGCACAATGCACTAGAAACTTCTTCACAACGGAATTTCTAGTCAGTTGTTGCAGAGATACAAAGGTGCCTGGGATATATATGGTTTTTACTATTGGAATTTCAGTATGATGCTGAAATTCATATTGACACATTGACAAGGTGGGGAATTGAATTTACCTTCTGTTGAAGAAATGGAACCCACTTGCAGTCCAGCAGTTCCTGGCGATACTGTTTTGTGAAAGGCCCAATGTAAGACACAAATGCTGCTGTAAGGAGAACGTCTCCACACAGTGTCTTCTCTTGAGTTTCAAAGGACTTAATAGACAGACCCCAGCGAATCTTCTCTGACTGAATGATAAAATTACTCACATGAAATTGCAGGGTGAGCATCAGCTCAACAAACGCTTAATGCAATTACCTTACTACACAGTTTAAGGCTATGATGGCCTTTGCACCATCTCTAGAAGGAAGACAAATATAACTGGTTGGTCTGGCTGCTGTAATCTTTCCTATGTTTGAAACCTGTCATCACCAAGTACTTCCCCCACTCTCTTGAATGGAGTAACATCTCCTTTTCATTGGATGTCCGAACTCTTCAATCGACTGGAGGCATACCAGTTGCTTCCCTGTCCATCTGGGAACAGACGGCCAAGAGCTGTAACCTAGAGTGAGTGATGTTAGGATTTATTTTGCATACACATACACATGTGTGTGGGAGTGGGGGGGGTGGGGACAGGGTATGAAAGAAAGAGAAATAGACTTGCTTTATAGTCCATGCTGGTCTCTAACTGTCTTAGCATCCTCAGTGCTGGGATTCAGCTGTGTGCCACCATACCTGGCTGTTCGGATTTTTTAACCAGTCTGGCTGTTCTCCATTCTCCTGACTTTTTGGCAATGGTACTACACTGTCCTAGACCAACTCCTCTTCCCCTTAACATACTGGCTTTGGGCTGATTACAAACAAAGGAAATTGACAAACATCATTCATGTTAATTAATTAAAACATTAAGCCTAAATAGTCATCTATCCCGAATTCTGTTAATTAAAAAGTCATGCTCATAGTGAATAAACTCAGGCTATTTTTCTAATATAATCACTAAATCACTAGATAAGCTATGACCTATGTAAAAAGATGAAATCATGACTTCAGTAGCCTTGAAGACAATACATCCAAAGAATGCTGTGGAAGTCCTTATATCTAGTGGCATGATCATTTAAAATCTGATTTACAGGTTAAGTGTGTGGAGCCCTTAATATTGGATTTGAATAAAACTGCAATAAACATGGATGGATTGACTGAACTGCAGGGTGCTTCACTAATTCAATTTATTTCAAGGCATGCTAAAAATTAATGCAATAGTCTAAGAACATGCAAATTAATAAGACCTGAAAAATTGGCACTTTGATAGTATAAAGAAAGAAGCAGTAGCAGCAGTTTTGCTTTCTTCATGGAGGAAGAAAGGCCATGGAAAGCAAAAATGATCCATGTTAGAAAAGATTACAATGCCAGCTGCTTGTAAGGCATCACAATATCCAGTACACTGAGGCCAAGACATTAGCCTGTGAAATGATTGTCAAAGCTGTTTTAAGACATCTCCTTGCTTTCCTTGATAAGGCTCATCCCAAGTTAGCTACATAGTTAAACACTGAGGAACTCTAGTTCCCTAGTCCTCAGTTTAAATTTTGTTACTCTCCTTCCCGAGCCAAAGACACTATATCCATTCATTTTCAAAAGGAATCTTCCCATTTGCCTACCCTCCATCTTTGTTGTCTTTGGTTTGTAAATGATAAACAATAAAGTTCACCCACCTCATTCTCCAAAACAGCTTTGAAATTTGAAGATTTACTAAACATAGACTTATTGGCTATTGAAATCGTCAATAATTTCACTATACCACCTATGCGACATAAATCATTACTGACACTGGCTAACAAGGGTTTAAGAGTTGGAACATGTCCTCTAATAAATTTCTAGACAGTTAAAAATCACTATAATTTTATTCTAATGCATTATAGATTGCCTGTAATGTCATCCTGGCCGGGGTGACCCATTTCTAATTTTGAACAGCTGTTCAGCTCAGGAGTTAGTTAATGATTAAATATAAATTGCCTGATTTATTAGTCTGAATGGTTGAGCTTCCAGGTCAATGCTATATAGACAAAATCATCAGTCTTGATGCTTTTCAGAAGTTAACTGTCTCCTGTTCTAGTCAGAAAGAATTTATCCTCAAAAGAAAAGATCTGACATCTTCAATTAATCCTTCAAAATATATTTTTTTCCTAGTTAACAACACACAGGCTTTCCCCCTGTTTCATTGTCTAAATATGTATGAGTGAGTTAAACCCTTGGGAATATTGCTGTGTTAGAATAACAGGGTAAAGCCTGCTTCTGCCTTGAAAAACTTTCAGATATTCTGTCACTACATTGGGAACAGTCTAATTATGTGACTCTTTTGCTGTTTTTCTCAGGTGCTCACGAGTGGTAAGCACTTCAAAACTACTTAAACCTTTATCAAGTTAAGTAGGCATACTTGAAAATACTAGCAGTGGTGAAATATCTCAACCGACCTAAAGAGAATGAGTTTTCAAATGGCTCCACAATTTTTTTTTATCACAAGAGGCTCCAAAAATTCATCTATTTTTCATTCAACAAATATATTTGTGATGTGACAGGGGACTAATTTCTATGTTTGGGATCAAGTGGTTCACAAAACAGATGAAGTTTCTGTTCTTGAGAAGTTTAGTCATAGAGCAAGTGTGTGTGTGTGTGTGTGTGTGTGTGTGTAAAAAGAGCAAGTTGAGTGTACTTGGGTTGAGTGCTTTCATATCTTGGGAGGTCAGAGAATCCTGTGTGATAAGGGAACTGAATAAATGAGGGAGCCAATGACCTGCTATTTGGGAAAGGGTAAGCAGAGGCCACAAGTAGGAGAGCAATGGGCTGTATGAGAAGGAGTAAGAAGGCCAGAGGTGATGCAGCAATAGGCAAAGTGGCAGAGGTGAGGACAGAGAGGCATCCAGGGGCCAGATCACATATGATCACATAAAGCCTTTGGACTGTACTTTGAGCAAGACTATTAGCTATTGGGGATTGAGCAAAGTGGTAAGATAGATGGACTTAGTTTTTAAACTATTACCCAGTTGCAATGAGAGGAATGGCCTCCAGAAGTAATGGTGGGCTAGAGAGGTACTGAGTATGAGGGAGGATGCTGGTGGTGTGATGACCAGTACGAGAGGTAAATGAGCAAGAAGGGCTGAGAGTGTGAGGGGAATTTCAAGGCAGAGCCATCAGAAAATGCTGATGAACTGTATGTGGGTTGTAAGAAAGAAAGCAATGAGCCAAGGGCAATTCAAAAGCTTTTGACCAGAAAAATTAGAAGAACAGACTTGCAGCTGTTAAGATGGAATGCACAGGATGAGGTATGAGTTTACACATCACAAACTATACATTTCAGAAGATCAGTTGGTTTAACTTTGTAGTAAGTTCAAATTATATAAAAACAACAACAAAAACCAGGCTATATTTATAAGAGATCAGGCTATTGTCCAGCCTCATGTCCTAACACTTATGTCCCTATCCTTTCTTACTAGCAGAACTCTGATTTTGAATACAAACGCAATGTGTCCAGTCCTATGAGATGGACCATGATTGGCTGAGCCAATCATAATCCTATTTTCCACTTGTGTAGCCTTTTTTTTTTTTTGAGTGGCCAATCTAGTTCTGGTTAGAGACATTTAAGTGGGAGTCTGCCAAAGAGGTCTCTAAGGAAGCTTCCATTTTTCTTACAAAAGGAGGAAAACCTAGCTGATGCAGAGTGCTCCCGTACTCTCTTGAGATAGCTGAAGGTGTGGCAACCATTTTGGATCATGAAGCTACAAGGATGAGGGTAAATGCCCACGTGCCAAGTGTGGAGAAGCAGATGGGTAAGAGAGATTGGGCGTCTCACTATTAATCACCTGATTTAACACTGACGATGATCTAAACTACTGTACATCAAGGTTTCTACCAACTCCTGCTAAATGCATTTTCATAGTATGGTTATACACTTTTTAGCTTGTATTCTTTTCATCTAATCGTGCAGGTATATAATTTATACTTGATAACAATAGCCTTATTGACAACTGTTCAATACTATTGTTACCTAGATGTCCTGAGTTCTACAACCTATCTTAAGGCAAACAGGTTTTACTTTGTTTTTTAATAGATTTAGCTACATACCAAAAAAGACAGGGACGAAAGGAGGGGAAAAAAAGTAAGTAGATAACCTACTACAGCTGGTATACTCTGTTGTCTTTAAGTAAATAAAAAATAATAAAATTCTGACAAAATATATGTCCTCCCTCTGCTTTTGAACACTATGCTGCTGTCACACTGAGTATTGCCTATATATTAAAAAAAATACATGAGTGGATACATCCTCCTTTCTGTAACTTTGATCCACAGTATGAGTGATGATTAAATAACCTTTTTATTATTGATTCTATGTTTAGTTATTATTAACAATGATTATAGAACCCAAAGAAGCTGTTCTGAACACGTTAGTGAGGATTTCAGAAGAAAACATTAGCTTACCTCAAGTTCCTTGACAAGTCTGTTGGCTAGCTCAATGGTTTTGTTGGTTTGGTTCACCTCTTCTTGACAACGGACTTTCTCAGCTATGGCTTTTTCAAGTGAAGCTTTGAGTCTGCTCAGATTTTGATCCAGATCCTGAATAGGAGTTGAAATTAACTTTAGAGTCATTTTTAGCTAAAACAGAAATATTATAGACATCGTTACCTTAAATGAAACAAACCCCTTTTTCTCCTTTGCTCTTTGACCGTATATATTTCAAGGAGGAAGGAGGAAGAGAATATAGCAGCAGTGAATCCATCAAGGACACCTCAGGCTGTCTAGTCGCTCACCAGTAGTCTTCTTGCCTTTCTTCTTCCCTGAAGTGCACAGAGGGACTGCCTGAGTGGTTGTATCCCTAAGACTCAACACACCATGGGCGCACTGTCCCCTCAGCTCTTGTGCCTAAGTGTCCATAAGCCTCCATTACCAGCTTATTAATGACAGGGTCATCTTATGGTTCTCCACCTACTGACTCTCTTCTCATTTGGCTCATACTTGAGGCAACAAAGAGGGGTGTCAATGTCGAGTCCCTTCAGACCTCAGCACTCTGACACAATTTGCCCATGAAATTTTCTCTTTTGGGAATTAGGGAAAGAGAATTGGAGGTCATTCACTGTCTTATTGAACATTGGGAGGATGTGTAAATTCTGAGGGGCTTCATTTAGACTGATAGTTCCACTTTCTTCCATTAGTCATGTGGTCTCCCTTTTGGCTTAAAGTATTTGAAAGGATTTGTCAAAAAAAAAAAAAAATACTTGGCAGACTCCTTGCTTCAGCATCTTGCTACTTACAAGTTCTGAGAACCCTAAGATTTATAACACTGCTTTTGTGAGTATATTTAGAGGTCTATGAAACTTTAATAAACAACTGGCAGAACAGAACCTATATCTAATTTAGAGACTGCCTGCATTTGTCAATAGCATAGTTACTTCATTAGTTATATTGCTATAGCAATACATAAATGCATGTATATATAGAGATGTGTCAGATTTAAAATTAATAGGCAAACTAAGGACAAATGTATAAGAACTGGAGGTATTATATGCCACCTGGTACAAATAAGGTCAAAATAAAAATATTGCAGATCTGCTTTGGGTTAGTAAAAGCAATCATAGCTTTATAAAATACTGATGGTACATGTACATTCTGGTATTTGACACCTGGCTGGGTTACTGTTTGGACTCCACTACCAGCTGAGTCAAGTTGAGTTGTGCCTCAGTTTTGCTACCTGAAAGATGGGATTGACAATGTTACCTAATTGAGAGGGTTTTGTGAGGATTAACTTTGGTGTTAATAGATATTATGTGATAATATCTAGGGCAGAATAAGACAGCAGTTCTCCAAACATTTGGTCACAGAATCCTCTTTGGTTTATGCAGATAATATCTACCCATATTGATAGAACTGGAAATTAAAACTAGATATTGATTTATTTCAAAATAATAAACTCATACATTCACATAAATTAATTTTATAAGAGAGGAGAAGAATGGCATTGTGTAAGTTTTGCATATCTCCTTAATGTCTTCACAGAAGAGCATGAGGTTCTTCTACCTGTTCCCATGTTCAACCTGTTGAGCCATCATGTCACATGGCCACTGAAAAATTCTACTGTATTTTTGTTAGAGAATGACAGGGGAAGACAATAACTTAGTATGACGATGAGAATGTTTTTAACCTTAAAGGTTCCTGGGCTACATTCTATGACTCTGTGATATACAACATGAATTTTTTGACAGTACTGGGGGTTTTGAATTCAGAGCCTCATGTTTACAAAGCAAACTTCTACCACTTGAGCCATAACCCAAGCCCTCTTTACTATAGCTAATTTTCAAATAGAGTCTCACACTATTTGTCCATCTAGCCTCTGATGGTTATCCTCCTACCCATGCTTCCTGCATAGTTGGGAATATGCATTTCCACATTTGGCTTGCTCTTTGAGACAGGGTCTCACTAACTTTTTTGTCTGAGCTGGAGAGCCTGTCCTTTTTCTGCCACTTAAATGTTTGTTTTAATACTGAATTTAATTTCCTTAGAATTATTGAATAGAATAAATAGGTGTAAATAGGTATAAAAGCTATCATTTTAAGCTCAAGGTTCAGTACTGATCACTAACAGATAAAATGATTAGACATACATAATAAACCACATCAGTTTCTAATGAAAATCAGCTACTTTTATTAATGTAGACTATTTTGAAAATAATTAAAAAATTCTTTTTTACTAGTATGTTTCTTATTAAAGAGGGAAATTTGAAAAAAAGTATGGAATTTTATTATTGAAGAGAACGTCCTTGGAATTAAGAACCAGGAAAGTAACACTCACATGCTTTAGATATGTAATACACTTTGTGGGTTATGTTGCTTGTTTGAGTCCCTCAAGCACAGGAAGTACTTCTGTTTTCTTTTTGTAAGTGAGGACACCTGGACAAATGTCAGTTGAGGGATTTGCGGCAGTCCTACTTACTAGTATGTGGCAAAGCAAGGCCTAGAACCCAAACCTTCTGACTCTTGGACAGATTTCATGGAACATGTTTACTACAATAGATTCTTAAGCAATCCCAACAATGGAGAGAGAGGGGAAGCACTTCTGGCTGCCCAGCCAGGTCACACATGGCTCATGCACAGTTTAGAGTTTTCAGCATTTGGTTTACAACAACCTGATCCTAGTCTGTCTGTCTTTAAGGCCATGGGCTCTGGGCCTGTGATTCACTTCCTATGAGCTGCATATTTTCTTATTTGTAAATTGTAACAATTCCTATCAATGTGTACCTCGTATGGCTGCTGTGGAATTAACTGTGTACTAATGTACAGAACACAGGGTACAGAGCGTTTGTCAAGCACAGCTAAGAGCTGGCTTGGTGTAGAAGTATCACTGCAGTTTACTCTGCGTGGAATACAAATAATACTTGGCCCCTCCCTGCACTTAGCTAGTCAACTTAGTGACAGATGGGGTAAAAGTTGACCCTGGGCAAGAAACTCTTACTGGCATTAGGAAAGTTGACTGGAAATAATAACCAGCATCCTGAGCATGGTGAAGGGTGAGAGTCTGCTGTTTTCTTTCACAGGAGGATGAGTTGCTGAGTTGAGCTTATACTGACTAGGTCTGTTGTGTGTTTAGTGGTTTGATTCATGGCTACCTTTAACTCTGAAAATAAATGTACAAAATGTATATGGACTGCATAAAATAGCTCAAGGCAAATATATCATCAACATGATTTTATTCTAAAATAAGTAAGATTAGTTTCCAGAATCTTTTTTTTCTGGGGGGGGGAAGCTGTCTTAATACTTGCTTGTATTTCTCTTTTTCCTTATTTTTGAGCAATTTTTCTCTAAAGAAATGTCTCCGTGTTTTGTTGTTTTTCTTTTTTTCATCACCCATTCTCTCCAATCAATATTAAGTTGACCTCATTTCTGTCACTTGTTTTTGTTCTCTTCTACCACTTTGCTGAAAGAGATGTGGCAAGAAATCACCAATAAATCTGGTAAGCTATTTTTATTCCCTCAATAGGAAAATCACTGTAAAAAGTTATTGGGGTGAGCATCTCTAATCTGAAAATCTGAAATGCCCCCAAATTCAAACTTTTTGACTGTCAAGATGACTCCACAAGTAAAAGACTCCACACGTAACCCCCACATGATGAGTGGCAATCACAGTGCAGGCAAATTAAAACACTGCATAAAATGACCTTCAGACAATATATCTGAAACTTAAATGGACTTTGTGCTTTCACTTGGGTCTATCCCCAAGATATCTTCTTATATGCATATAAGTACTACAAAATCCTAAAAAATATAAAATCCCAAATAGATAAGAGATAATCTGCTTAGATCCCTTAATGACAATAACTTAACAACTAATAATTGCTGATTCTCCAGCACAGGCCAGGTACTATTCTAAGCACTTCACTTTTGTTAACACATTTGACTGGTTTAGGGGGTTCACGAAATACTTCCCAATTTTGCAGAGGAGAGACTAGAGCCAAAGAAGGATAGTAAGTTACCTAAAGCCACATGGCTGGAAAGTACTGGTTTGTAAGTTAACACATGTTGTGAGGCTTCAGAGCCTGTGCTTGGATACCTTATGGTTCCCATGCTCTTTGCTATTATTTATTCCAAGTGATTGTTCCTCTCCTTTTAACATTCCCATCTTCCCTAGGCCCTGTAACCTCTTTCTCTCTTAGTTCTTCTCTCATATTCCAACAATTCCTCTTGTTTGTGGTTTTAGGTGTCTCTTTTCTCTGACCGCCTTGTAAACTGTATATAATCCAAGGTCCCTCCTTAACCTGTGAGATAGGGGAAAAAGCGATACAAATACGAACTTCATTCTGCTTGTTATCCTGGAAGTAATAAAATCTCTGGTTTCTGACCCTAAGTCTGATGTCTTCTCACATTGCTTCCCTTTCATACTGCTTCCAGATTCTTCAACCTGTCCCTCAGCCCTGAGTTATCTTCAGTGGCTCTCCATGACTGATAGTGGGGACCTTCATGGAGAGGACTAGGGCCCAGAGAATATACACTTGCCCTAAGCTTTACCTATAACCTGGCTAAATGAAGCTACAGCTAGCATCCACTATCTTTGACTTTATCTTCTTGGCATTAAAAGAAATCCTCAATATTAGAAAGTGAGGTATCTTCTGGTTGACAGAACAAACACTTAACCAGTCCCTGGCAAGTTCCTGTTATGATCACATCCCTACCCTCCTTTTCACCAAAAGTAAGCCTGGCACACTGACATTCATACTCTGCTGTTTGGCCATACTGAGCTACTCACTGTCCACAGAACACATGGTCACCTGCCACTGCCCTTTATTGGATGCTCTTTCTCCATCTTGCAGGCAAACCCTGTACACTCCATTCGAAAAGAAACTGCTCCACCAAGCCCTTCTGCATATGCATCCTCATATGCAGAACTGACCACTCCTTTTTCCTGCTCCAGCCCACAGCCAGTAGCATCTCTCTTGATAGCATCTATCAAGATCAATAGCATTTATTAAATTCACTGTAAGATTTTCCAGAGCAAGGCCTGAGCCTTATTCGTCTCTTTAAACCAGTTCTCAGTGCCGTGTTTAAAAATGCCTGCTGACTGTGGATAGA